AACAAATGTGATAAGACTAGTATTATTCTTATTTGCACGTTTGATATCTTGCTAGTGAACATTACACCTTTCTTTTGCACAATAATCTCCTGTTTTTCTTTTTTTTGGATATGGAAATGTATTTGTCCTTTACAACAATTTCTACCCAGGAAAGGAGATTTTCCTTGTATGATCAAATAGCAAACTTTGGGGAACAACAGGTGACATAATGTATTATAAATATGAAAGCATAATGCTATTACATGCACACTAGTGATAGTTTGCCAGAACAAGTCCAGTAACCATTTGCATTCAGAATTTCATACGCACTGAACAAATAATGATTTTCAATTGACAGATTTCAATTGGGGTCCAAGTTGTTAGATTTGTATAACTTTACATCATCTCTTTAGTATTTTTGCCCCTTTCCGTAAATCTGCCAAGAACTTTATACAAATTCTAGACCCTCTGAATCTGAAGGCCGCCCTGGTGATCTGGTACAACTTTGTTAATAGTCTGGTTTTGATTAGTCTTCCTATCGTCGACGGACTTGAATTCAGCCAACCCTGCTAGTTCTTCAACTGCACTGACCATGCCTTCAATCCTTGAAACAATTTCAATCAGTAAAGAAGCTAAAGTTACAAGTGGAATTATTTCCATTAGAGGAACTGCCTTTTTGGAATCTTGCTCCGTGCTCTTGTTTTCGGGACATTCGGCTTCTTGCAGTGGCTGTGGAATGAACAAAGTAGGGAGAGATTTTAAGTCCTCTTGGAGCTCCAGCACCGCATTGTTCATTTCTCCAACTAGGAAATCTATTGTAGATGACTTCTTCATTGTCTTCATAGTCTTTGCAAGCTCTTTTATGACCATTGAAGAGTCAGAGCTTACTTTTATGGCAGTGTTGCTGATATGCTTCTTTGTGAACTCAGGGGCCTGTTTATTCAGATGAAGTTGTTCAAGTTAATTGAGTCAATGTTGCATTGCTGACATATTTCCATGTGGAACAATAATTTGGTTCAGAATATAACTTGTAGAAAAATACCTCGTTTTCAGAATTGACACAACCATTGAGGGCCTCGATGCAATAAGCGCAGTCACGCATTGATGCCCCGATTTTGAGGTATTGTTTCCATGGATGCCTAAAGTTGAAGCGGCCATGTGCAGGCTCCCATCTTGCAAAATTGGCCTACAAAAGACAATGCCACTGTGAGAAAGAGAATGCCTTAAGTAACTCAATAAAACCAGGGAATTATGTTCCTGCTACATACCATGGCTTCTTCTGTTCCCTTTGAACTTAGAACACATTTGTAGCCAAGCGCTTTTTTATCAGATTCTTTGTCACTATCAGCAAAGCCTCCACTATCATTGAAATATTCAGCAACACAGCCTGAAAAATATAGGGGCACTTAATGTCACTGACGTCGGCCTAAACTTAACCGCAGGTTGGTATTTATTTAATGAAAGCAAAAATGGTATTTGAATGAAGTACGTACCATCTAAAGAACCGGCAAGTTTGTCCATGTTGCGAGTGATAAGCATATAGAGTTCCTCCCCAGCCCAAATAGGGCAAATAACCACGGTTATGATTATGCACAAGGAAGTCCCAATGATGATGGTGGAGATTCTTTGACCGGCCATATCCAATAATTTATCCACCCGGTAACCGGATACTGAAACTAAGCTGAATGTGAGGATGAAGATCATAATACCGTAGTCGAATCTGATTTTCACAGATGGTATAAATCTTGAGAAGGTTGCTGCAGAAGCTGAAGAACAAAAAAACAATAATAAGAAAAATAACCCATGAAAAGTCTTCTCTATAGCTAGTCACAATTAGAGAACATTAATATATAATATAGGACTACATACCTAATAAGAAAACTGAAATTCCAGTAATGAAAGGCTCAAATTCCTCTCCGGATCGGTTTGCAATCCAATGGATGCCAATGGCAAGAAAACCAGCAAGAAAAGTTCCACAAATTCTGTTTATGCTTTTACATAAAGTTGCACCTGCATTTTAACCAGTATGAAATATTTAGCTTCAGGCAAGTCAATAATTTTACACATGCATATTTGTTGAACTCAATTGGCTTAAAGATCATGACAAGGAACTTACCAACATTGTTTTCAAAAACAACCACAACTGTCATAACTGCCCACATGGCATTTCCTCCCACACCTTCATACAGTGGCCTCATGTAGTAAAAAACTGAGACAACAGTGAGGGCCATCCCTACCTTCAGGCAATGAATCACTTTTCTGGGCTCATTATGTCCCAAGTCCCAAGCTTTCTTCAGGAACTTCCACACTTTCAAAACCAACCCTCCAATCAGACCCTTCAAAGCAAGCCACGCTATTTTGGCAAACCCTGCATCAGGAGCCAATGCTTCAGATGACCCATCTGCCATTGTTATCCTCCACTCCATTCCACTGGCCACTTCCTTCTCCTGAGCCATTTTGATAATGACAACAGAAACAAAACCAACTTCGGGAGCTGCTTGATAAAACTTAAGCTGCCAAGTTGTCAAGTTGCCAAAGTCCTCAAGCTCTCATGCAGAGGAATTGTTAAGCTTTGGTGAGGAAAGAAGAGTGACTATGGGAGTATATATATACTAAGTGGGATTTTGGTATCTCATAGTGGTCTGAAATAAACAAATAAGCAATATAAACAATTAAAAAAAGTTTTCCAATGGCATGAAAATGTCAGCAGCAAGAAGCCAATGCACTTCTTTTTTTCATTTTGGGTAGGTCAGGTTGGGACTCAAGGACACATGTTGATCTATAACTTTCATTAATCCTTCCCTCTCTGTTCTCTTAGAACAGGTAAAAATGCATTTCAATCTTTTAGTCCCACAGTTCTTTACAAATGTATCCAATTAGGCCTTTTTCATCACTTCTTAAACCAACAGAACTGTGTTCAATCTTGTAAAAGCAGCACTTTTTTTTAATACAAGTGTCTGCACCAAATTGCACTGAAGAGTCAAAACTGATATTTGGATATGGTAGAATTATGTGCAAGGCACGTGTCACTTGTGCTGCAAACTTAACCGTCCAGCTGCAATATTTGATTTTTCAAGTGGAAACTTACCGGATGTAATTAGATTAGTAGCAACATATGGGAAGTGGGGACCTTTGTTTTCCCAATTTGATTTGCAAATCTGTATACATATTGTTCTAGTAAATATCCAGTATTTGCAGACACGTGTGCTTTTCATCTTTCATTCCAATGAAATTCTGCAAGTACACTGGTACTTAAAGCTTCCTATTTTTCCTTAATGCCCCACAGAGAGAGAGAGAGAGGGAGAGAGAGTTTAACGGACCTAAATCAAACCTTCATGAAGAGGTGACATATTGTGTCCTAAATTCATCAAAAAGGTGAAAACATCAGCGCACTATCATTTGTGATCAACATCAATATATTCTTACTTATATGCAAGTGTTCACTGTTTATGTTTTGTTTTAAGTGGAGCTTTGATCGGATTCCTCTTTTGTTTTTCCATGGATAAGATAATTAGGAACCAGCACTCAAAGAAATTAATATTGCTGATATTATAATATCATGAACTCTCGGCTACTCTCTGATTGAACAACTGCAATCACATATTGTTCTCAAAGTCCTTTTCTTCCCAACTAATTGCATATGCAGCTGTCAAGAAAATTTGTTTTCAACCTTGTTTTCTTCCCTCTCTGCATTTCCCAAATCCCATTTCTCTATCTCATCTTTTTAAAATCAAGCTCCAGGCATATGTATGTCCCAGTTTCTCAAAATTGCTCCAGCTGTTTGACAGAGACAGGACAAAATTTAAGCCCCCATTTGTTTAGAGAGAGCCATTGTTAGACCTGTAACCAAGCAGTAGAGTGACTAGTGGGTTTCAAACCGTAGTGGAGAACCCAATATGGGCTAGAAATGTTAATATATTTTATTGTGGGTTTAATTTTGAAATTGAAGGCAAATTAGGTCATGAATAGGACCAAGTAAAGGTGGGGCAATAGATTTAAAACTGGGGCTGCATTTGATTGTGTGTTGCTGATTTCATTTGAATGGAAAGAGCACTTATCTCTTTACACTGGAGCCTTTCCACAGCTGCATGCACTGCTTTGAAAGGCTAATTCAACTATCACAAAAAGCATGGCTTTGCACTACAATATCACCAGATTGATTATCATGTACATTTTAAAAGAAGCAGCTGTCTTACCAGTGCCCCCATACTTTACCGAAAGCTGATTAAGACCTTTCAAACCAAAGTTCAAATCCTTCATTTAAACAAAAACAAAAATTTCTCAAAGTTTTAGTCCTTTCTGCTTATATTTGCTACATTGATGTTGTACTTATAATCATAATTACGTAATTTTTAGGCCGTAATCGTAATTAGCAGACAACCAATATTTGCTATAACAAAATCTTGCCTAACTTTCAACTGTACCAGACAGAAGTACGTACCTAATTTTATATATTTTAGCCTTGAAGGGTTCATAGTGCATGATGATTGATTACCACTATATGGTGTATAGTTTGCATATTAGGTCTTCTTTGAGATATTGATTCTCTATTTGTCCCTATATACTAAACTTTAATACAAGGGCAATGTTGTAGATAGTATGTTATGTTGTTAGATTGTCAATCATGACACATATTTGAATACATTTCATATAATGAGCATTCCAGATTGAGAGGTGTCTATTGGTTGACAAAAAAATATTTCCCTTTGATACGAATCACATTATTACAAATATAAATATTGTCGTGTAATGTCGTTCTCATTGTAAATGATATGGTGGATCCTAATTCCTTATATCCTTTGATACGAATCACATTATTACAAATATAAATATTGTCGCGTAATGTCGTTCTCATTGTAAATGATATGGTGGATCCTAATTCCTTATATTCTCTGTGTGTGTGTGTGTGTGTGTGTGTGTGAGAGAGAGAGAGAGAGAGAGAGAGATGGCAACACTCCATTACTATATCAGATATTAAGCCACAACATAAAGGCCAAGAAACAGATCAATGGTTAGCCTATTACTAAATGGTTTAATTCTCATCAGGTTGAAGATATAAACAACCAAAATACAAAACCTTGCCTAAAAAGCCTGTCCTTTCTTATTGGGAACTAGAGCAACAAAAAGAGCACCTGCAATTTTGAAGGTGTATCCTACTCTCTACTAACAATATGCACACTTCACACCTACTTCCAAAGCTGGATAAGCCAAATTCCTCTTCTTTCGTGACTTCCTCCGTTACTAGAACACCTATCATGGCATGTCCTCACAAGTAAATGCTCAAGGTATTCCTGAAACTGTCGTCCCAAAGCCGATACGATAAGCGTCTCATGACAAGCTGATGGGAGGAGGTAAACTTTGTTGTTGACAACTATCCAACATAGGAACTCCACTATCTACGATATTAGTCGGCAGATTGGTTGGATCAACCACATTGTTTGTTGTTTGCTGAAGAAGACGGAGAAGGGACCAGAATACATCTATCCTTGTTACATGCCTATTTGCCTGTAAACAAAGTTTAAGATTAATATCTTGGTAAGAAGAGAATAGAGAGGAAAGCTTAAAATTCATTTTTTTAGAAAGTAAGTAAAATAAATTTCCATCAATATAAATTATGGGAAAAACTCTCTAAGATCATTTATATAAATCTCACTTTAGGTTTACCTCAACAATAAATCGTGCCCATATCTTATCCTCTCGACTTTCCATCACCCCCTTCAAAATATTTAACCCAAAGCCCCGGATTATGTCTGCTATCTCAAGGAAGAAACCTTGTTCCTCACAAAGCATCTGCAACAGAAACAATAAATATTTCAGTCAGGAGGAGAGATCAAAACATTAAGGTTGGCAGAATACTCATGCCTTTTACATACCTCAATAAGCATTTGGCCAGGTGGACTAAGGTCCTCAACTATTATAGGGCAAACCACTGTTTGACCCTCGACTGCTAATGCCCATGTATTACCAGCAGATCGGTTGTTGTTGTCTTTTAGAACCACACCATTCTCCTTGCCAATTAGCTACAAAATCCATCCAAAATATTGTCTCATTAGTTAACAAACATCAAACATATTTGGCTTGTTCTGTATATAACAGAAATAACTAAATCAACTAACCTTTGGCTCATGAGCCTGTTTAAGTTTATCTGCATATTTCGTCACGCTTTGCAAGAAGAGCATGTATTTGATGGTTCGGTCCAACAACGAATCTATGCTACACTGTTGCATCAACCAAACATATGAATGTCAAAAACTTCACTAGAAACACATTGTACAATCTGCCAATATGAGAAAATGGTTTGTCTCTCTTTCAACAAAAAATTCCAAAGAATGAAACACTTTCCCATCTTATTATCTATTGAGAGACAAAATAAAGATCAAGTACCTTGCCACCACTGGGGATGATCCCTCTTAACTCTTTCATACGGTCTTGGATCTGCTGACGATCCTTGGGCCTTGGTCGAGTACTCTCCCCAGGCCTTGCCCTTTTCCTGGTGGTCTTTGTGTATTCCTCAGCCTGCTGTTGTTTATCTTGTGCAGCACTTTTAGCGTTGACACTATAGCTATCATCAATCCATAAACCGACCTGTGATTTTGGGAAAAAATCTTTCTTTGGTACAAGACTGTTTGTCTTGTCCAGGTTATACAAAGGCTCCATTGAATGCATGCTCCCACTAGAGCCAGCAAGCCTTGCAAACTGAACCTGGTTACTGTTCACAGATGAACATTCTGATTTCCTTTTTCGGGTGGTGGATGATAGGTCCTCTAGACTGCTTTTAAACACGGAGCTTGAAGTAGTACTTATACCATTCAAAAGCTCTTCCAGTCCTAATTCCGAGAACAACCCTTTCCGAGGAGCAGTCATGGAACCAACTTCTGGCTCTGAGAAGCATTTGGTCAAAGCAGTACCAGCGGTCAAGTAGCCACCACTGACTGCCGGCACCATAATATCTTCCCAACACTCCCCCACTTGACCACAACCAAAATCTGGTCCCAAACCATCAAACAAAACATTTTCAGCATTCTGAATGATCACAGAATTCTCATGTCCACCAGCATTGAAAGGATTTGTAATGGAACTGTGCATGGAATTATCTGGATGTTCAATTGGAGCATCAATAAACCTATCACCTTTAACCAGACCAGATGACCCCGAAGTACTTTCCATTACTTGTGAGAGGTCATCATTCAGTGTGGTTGCCATTCCATTGATGTTCTGTTCTGGTGAAGCAGCAAACCACTGGGAAAGATCATCCACCTGGCAGAATTTAGAGATATTTGTAGTAAAATCAGTTGGGTTAAACTCCACTGGGAAACCATGCAGAGAATGCTGGTTATCCATCTGATATCCACAGCTGCCTTGAATAGGTTTCGCTATGTCAGCCAATGAAGTGAATGTTGATTCCATCTGAATATTCTGTGCTGTATTTCTGCAAGATTCATGAGAATCCTGAACCCTAATTTCAGATGCCAACTGCGAGTCAAATGAAGTCAAATAAGAAGACTCAGTACTCCATGTACTAAACCAAGGGGTTTTATCAGCTGAGCCAATGTCATCAGATGATGTAGAATGTAAATTCATTGCAGAAGTATCGTTTCCTCGGAGCTCTTTAAATTTATCACCAAGGGTCCAGGTGACATCTCCATTATAGGAATTCCCAGATGAAATTAAGGAAGCAAACAACTCATTTAGATCATTAGTACCATTGTTCAAACATGATGGAACATTTTCCAAAGGAATAAGCCCATCAAGATTTTCCATCTCCCAGAACAACCTTTTTGTTTCATCCAAAACTTCGGACCGCTCCATAATCTGCAAAATGTAATAGCAGTATTGTTAGGAAGTATTCAACCATGCTATACCCCATGATGGATATTTACAGAGGTTGGTGTTACTATACTGAAAGTACATTATATGAACACCAAATCTAGATTTTGGCAACCATGGTCTCATTTGAACATAAGAACGTTGACATGTCAAAATGAACACAATGCATAAAGCTGAATCCCAGTTTGATGTTTCAATTCAACTACCTTTTTGGTGGATCCGAACTGAATTACTCCTCGTGGTTCAACAGAGATTGTCGCAATTGTCTGCAAATTAAATATAAGTGTCAATAAATATGACTTACGGATGGATGAAGAAATGTACACAACAAATATTAGCTTTAAAAGGCTGTGAAAGGTAAAGAGTTCACATAGATTTATCATAAGGTTCAACTACTCAAGCTTCTTTTCAAGAAAGAAAAACGGATTGAAAGGAAATGACGATACCTTTATACCAGAAGAAAATTGGCACCTGAACTCAGAGTCATCCTGTAGAATGGCAGTAAATATGCAGATAAGTAAACAAATAATCACCATTTCCCGGGAAGGAAAAAAAGAAGTTATGAATATATGGCAAAAATTTGAGCAATTCCACAAGAACTGTTATGGCCTATTAACTTTTAAGTTAGTTAACAACTGAAGAACATACCTGGAACATATCTTGACTTTCAAGAGAATTGCATGAATTCCATTCTCCACTAGAAGCATCTGAATGCATCCACCGGTGCTTCCCCGTGAAAGCCGTTTGCCCAATAATACTGTTTTAAACAACAACAAGAAGAAGAAGATCAGCCCTGTTATACATTTGTAATGCTTATTTTAAAAAACGAAAGTAATTTTGTGGGGAAATTTTGCTTTCAAGTTTAATGGATTCTATGATGGGGAAAAAGAAAACAAGCTATTGGAATTTGGAAAAAAATGTGGTACAATATTGAACTTACCCTTCTCCAAGCATGTGGACCTGTGAAAGCATACTGTCCATCACTGCTCCCATGTGCTCTTCATAATATGCATCTCCCATGGTCAACAACCTAAAGCATTTCAAACCCAGAATTTTTCATGAGCAAAACCTCGTAAACAACCAATTACTGTCAGATTATACCATTAAAAACCTTAATAATCCCAAATACCAAATCTGAGTTTCAATAGAAGCTTGATCTCACAAAGGAAAATGTAAAACAGCTAGCATGCAGAACATAAATGACTAATCTTTGAAATGAAAACAAGAATAACAAGTAAATTTGAACATTTCAAACTCTCATTTGTTCTACGATTTCATTCTACATGTAAAAAGAGACTTGTACCCTTTTTTTCCCACAAGAAGAAAGACTGTAACACAATAGGGGGTGGGTAAAGTGAAATGGTGAAGAAGGAAAATGCATCTTGAAAAAATAAACAGAGTCTAAGTTGGAAAAACCAAATTATATAAACAATAAATCAGCAGCCAAAGGAGAACAGAAGTATTTTCTTTCCAAAAAGAAACTTACATGGAATTTCTCTGATCAAAGCGCCAGAAAACCCCATAAGACCACCCATTGCTAACACAAAGACTCTCAAGTGTCTCTCTAATCACAGAACTTTTCCCAGCTTCACCCATTGCACTCTCCAAAACCACCTAAACAATCCCAAACTTCACCAACCCAAGCCCATAAGAGGACCCTGGTCCGAGTCAACCAGGAAGCAGCTCGACTCAGTCACTCAGTCAAGAACCCAAAAACCCAAACTCTTACTTTGCTGTAATTTATTTGGTCCTCGAACAGATTAAGAAAACCAAAGCCAGTTGCTTTCTGCTGAGGCAAACAAAACAAACCAAAGGGATGACTGTCGGAGTACCAAAGAGGGTATTTTTATCAAAACAACGAGTGTTGTGTTGCCAGAAATTTTAGAAGCTGAAAAGTGGTCGGCTTAGAGAGTGAGAGTTTAAGATTAAAAGAAAGGTTTTATATATATATATAGAAGATGGTGGTGGTTTGCTTTGCTTCTCTCTCTCTCTCTCTCTCTCTCTCTCTCTCTCTGTGGTCTCTATAAATGTTGGTTGTATTATTGTCTTTATGAAACCTCCAAAAATGAAAATGAAAATGAAGACGAAAATGAAATCTGATACAGTGCTCCGAAGATGAAGGGGAACACTGAGATCATGGGTATTAATTTACTGTATTAATATCTCTGTCTCCTTGGAGGCTTGGACTCGCCGGTGACCGGTCCCATTGGTCCGCCCATATCCCTTTCAGTTGGTTTACCGCCTATAGCCGGTAATTATAGTTGATTTTCTCGGAAGAAGCTTTTCCAATCACAAGAGATGTTGAGATGTCGTGAGATATGAGAAAATGGAGAGGAAAATCCATGGGTTTTATTGCATAATTATTGGGAAAATTCTGGTTTAATTTTGTAATTTACTCCTTAAATATAAAGGTGTATTTATTTTATTTGACAGATGTCGGATTTGTATTGGAGGAATTGATTTTAATGCACCAAATGAGTGAAAAAGTATTAATTGCTAGAGAATATTGTGAGCTTAATTAACCTCTAAAGTCAGGTGATTCTATATAATAAGGTGCTTAATTTCTTATGTTGTGTGACAATCATAATGACCTCCTTTTTTTGGGAAAATTATTTTACAATAAATTTTTCAAAACCAATATAGCTAAAGATTTCAAAGCTTGGCAATGTAAATATGGAAAATCTCACTAGGATTTGGAAGGTGGTGACATAGAGCTATTGCCCATTACAAAGATTTGTTGCATTTAAATCAAATTCCCATTGTGAAAGCTTGTATGTAACTATAGTGATTAAAAGTAGGGGTGGGTGTTTCTACCGAAAATCCGTCAAATTTGGTCAAATATGATTGGACCGTCTGACTTGGTTTGGCTTTTTCTTTATATTTTTTCTTTTTGATGCAAAAAATCAAGTCGAATTTCATAATATAAGTACCGTGAGAGACTAAATCGAACCAAACCTAACTCAGAGAGAGAGAGAGAGAGAGAGAGAGAGAGAGATTAAAGAAAATAGATAAAATAAAAGAATATTACCCAAAAACAATTATAATAAAAACATAAATATTTCCCTTTTATGTACTATTCCGTTTTTACATCCCTTCGCCTTATTATAAAGAAATTTCTCAAATCAATTAGACAAAATTGTAGATGTTAGAATTTTTTAGATTTTAATTTGAATTCTAAAAATGTGTGAGAATCCAAATTTTATCATCAGATAGTAGTAATCATGTGCTCTACCACTGGAGCTATAAGCTCCTATTAAAAAACTATTGTTTTTAGACTAAATTTTCAATCTATCAGAAAAATAAAAGGAAAAAGAAAGTGGTTTAAAAAAGTTCCAATTCGAGACAAACACATGGAATAACTCATGAGATATCATGGTCGGCATCAAAAGCCACAACAACATACAAAACCAGACGTCCCTATCTCTACGAACTCCTCAAACCAACACACACACAGCCTACTAATATTCATTGTAATGGCAATCATATTATTCTGCAAATTCTCCTTTCCCCATTATTACTTCTATAAATATATATATATATAATACATATATCTTTTTTCAATGAAAACTTATATAAATATATTTATACATTACATATGAACAGCAAAAGCTCGTCCCTCCCTGGGTTTTCAGCCCTAAAAGAACCCTATCCAGTAGCCACCTCAGTAGATCACCAAGCTTGTGTCTTGAGCAAGTTAGTAACTTTGATTTTTATAACCATGGACGGTGCCACTTTATTTATAGCATCCCTTCTTTTTCTATCTCTCTCTCTCCTTTTTTCACGTTTCATATATTAGGTTAGGGTTTTGAATTCACATTTACTGTTTTCTGTATTTTTCACTTTTTATTATGTTTCTCTGCAAATAATTTTGTGCATATTTTACGTTAAAAATTATGTTTTGTCTAGACCCGTATGAATCCTATACACTTGATTAACAACTTTTTCAATTGAACATAGATAAGATATGTAAATTGATGTATATGAAAAATGATCATACCCGTATTATTTACTTCATGATTATAGCCTTAACAATGTATTACAAAAAATGATTACAATATTACAAGGAAAAAAAAATGAAATTGTTTAATTATTAATAAAACGGATGAGAGTTTCCGTTTTTACATCGAGAAATAATCGATACACCCAGGGGCGGATCTATTAAGGCGCAAGGAGGTGCAGCTGCACCTCCTTTCGCCGGAAAAACCATTGTAGGTGCTTTAAATTGCCCCTTTGCTCAACTGGTGTACAAATGACTTTATTTCCATTTTCAACATTTAAGTAAATGTCTTTGTCTTTTTACTTTTATTTATTTTTATATTACTCCATTACTTAAGTTTACAATGTAAATAAGGAAGTACCCCCCATTTGGATTCAAATAAAAATACTAGAAAATCAAATTCCCACCAAATAAAAATATGAAAATTCGGTTTTAGTGCAAAATACGATTTAGGCTAAAAATGATAGCTCATTAAGTCAATATATACTTCATACTAAAATCCCATAAAATCAAGTTTTCTTATTTGATGTATAAGGAATAAAAGCCGCCAAAAATTATCTTGAGAAAATGATTATTCCGAAAAACCATATTCATACTTAGTCAATATTGCACCTCCGCTAAAAAAATTCTGGGTCCGCCAGTCCATGCTTGTCAAACACAGTCCGTTGCCCAAACTAACCTCATTTCATAAGTTGAGGAAAAATCTCGTTAGAAAGAAACACACCATTAAATTAAGAGCTAGATAATACACTTGACATTGATCAATTGAATCCATTGCTACTATATGACCGCAAATGTGTATAAAATACTTATAATAATAAGCTTTTATTTTGTGGTCACAAAAGTTACTCATAAATAAGATGATGGATAATGGGACGTTGCTTGCTGGTGAAGAGAGGTGGCGGCTAATGGTTAAAAATGGCTCTAATGGAAAAGTGGTCATCGGCGGAGCCCGAAGATTTGGGCCAGAAAATATTCCGAATAGAAGAGTGATATATCGGTGGGCCCTACTCTCGGGAAATGTAACATTATAGAAGTGTCCTAAAGGCAAGATGTGAGTGGGGTGGTCCCCAAGTTTAGGGTTGTGGGGTTTGTAGGGATCATTTTCTGATTTCACCCCCTGCCAATGCCTCCCTCCCCCTCTCGTTTTTTACAACCACTCTAGTCTCCTACAAGAGAAATACCCAATAATTAATTGGCAATTGTCTTCAATTTTGATGAAGATGTAATTTGAATTCCATCAATTTCATTCAAGTATCAAATATCAATGATCATGAAAATTATGTACATCATCAACGGTTCATGGTCCATCCCATCTTCAAGTATCAAGTATTAAATATCAATGAGACGAGATTATTTCTAACTTGTGTGTATTTTCTCACCAATACCGTTGTTGGCATGAAAACAAGTTCAAAGAGAGAGAGTTATTCTAGTGTTCAAGTAAATTTTAGGTATTGTCGATTGTATATTACTATGTGTTTAACTTTTTCATCACATTATATGTTTATGCGTCTATCTCTCTCATCACGTGATGAGAGAGATATAGACTTATGATTGTATACAACTGATTGTATAAAAGAAATACAGTCCACATATACAAGTAGAAGAAGCTTCATCACACTTTTCAAGTGGTGGGAATTATGAACATGTCCATGCTCACATCATTTCACAAATCAAAATAAGGCTCATGCTAGCATACTAGCCTTGTATGAAGTTAATAATACAGGGTGGCTATGGTGGTGTATGTGTGTGTATGAAAGCAAGAGTACTGTGGGTAGGTATACAAAAAGCAAACATTTACGGTACGGGTCAGTAATTAAAGAAACTTACCACTGAACTTACAACCCTCCCTTTCATTGATATCCCTTAACTGCATGGTTCATACTTTTTTTTTTACCGTGTCTCCTTACACACGGGTTGAAGCTCATTTTGCTACATGTAGACAGGTGTAAATGCATTTCTTGGGTAAAAAGAGAAAGTCTCATCCAATACGATTTTCCTCCCTTCATAATTCGTAGCCTTTTCAATCTGATACATACATAGCTCCATATATATATATAGATTAATTGGTGAGCCATCCTATATCATATTAGCAACTTGCACAATGTGTTTTTATGTTCCATAGGGCTAGCTCAGTGATTTCAGTCCATAATTGAATTTGATACAGCTAGCTAGCTGATCAACCAAAGCTAGTAATTGAAATTTGAATTGGCAAATCCCTTCTTTACTCTTCTTCCCCAATTTGGATATTTCACTCTCTTATTTCATCCACTCCCCTATAAACCTATCATCTAATCCCTACCCTCCATCTCTATTGTACTTACCCAATTAATAAGGATCACTTTCTGTTTTTCTTTTTATGTTATGTTTTATAAAGAAAATTTAAGTAGGACTTCCTTGTCACAGACATGATGAGTAGCGCACACCATCAAGTTAAAACATGTTGCGTGTTACATGTTTTTATTTATGATTCAGATTCCAAAACACATGTTATGTTTTAACTTGACAATGTTTGTCACTTATCTTATAACTAATAAATCACAGTCAAAGCTTTTCTCCTCTTTTTCGTCTTGTCATTTACCCCTTAATTTGGTTCAAACAAAGCATTGCATGATTGAGAGTCATCCACTAGGTGTATTTTTTCTTCAACATATTCATTTTGGTGTTGATATGTTAGTTAGCATTGTCAATTATAAGGTCTCTGGCTTTAAACTAGCAACCCTAATGTTGTGTTAGTGGGTGGGTGTGTCAGAGGGAGGGGGTGGGAAAGAGACCCACAAGTGATTGCAAGGGCACAAAGTTGCTCCAATTTTCCCTTAGCATCACCACCCTTCGATCTTTATCAAGCAAAGTCCATAATTTTGTCTCCTCAAGACAACACACGCTTCATCATAGCCGTTGAGAATTTAAGTCAACGGCATAAAAAAGTTTGGCTTTTACATCTTTATTTTTTCTGCTGAGAAAAGGGAGAGGAATTAACATCCAGCACTAGGATTTGGATTGTTGGCTGTTTTTCTCTTTATCTTCCCCCCTTTTGGTTTATAAAGAACAAACAAAGCCTGCTTAATTGAGTTGGTGACAGTATGGATCAAGTTAATTAAAGGTTGTGATCCATATGATGATGAAATTTATGATCAATTTAGATCTTACTTAAAGTGTTTAATTATTATGTCATGCTAAGATTTTACAGTTTTAAGCTTTATTTTCTTGGGAAAACATGCTTTGTCCTATGAAAAAAAGGGCAGGGGGCCCTAGTTAAGGGCTACTGGACAGAAATCATTATTCATAGTCATAATTTATGTTCTCTTACAAATAACAGTGGCACATGTGTTTTCAACATATTTCAAAATTTTCTCAAGTTTTGACTTGCATAATGAATTGCAACAATAATTCAACAATACATAGGCTCCTGCAATAGATGGACATTATTTTTCAATCCTAGCTATCTTGCAATAACTTGAGTATCATATAACCCCATTTTCCCAAAATTCAAACCATTTAGAAATTATTGGACCTTCTTTTTTTATATAGTACAAGCGATAGTTTAAATTACATGGGAGACAAGTTCCTTTTCCACTGAGCTAGACCCGGTTGACAGAAATTATTGGATTTATTTGTTATTAAGTTGACACCTTAATTAGTATATCTAGCAGCAAAAGGTTCTGAATGCCTAGTGAAATAGCAATCAACATTCTTTACCACTTAGTCTACTATGGGATGATTCTCTGCTGCAGAGAACAGCACACTAGTTTGCTTTGAATTGTAAGTTTGACCCATATTAATTGTAGTTTAGTAGCACTCACTAAAGAATACTTAAAATAAATGAGTTATCATTTTAGATAATAACATGTACTTATGCTAGATTCTCTTCTTAGAAAGGCTGAAACTTTTTTAAGATCTAATTGGATCCTTTAGAAAAGCTATAGGTGAAAGCAGATCTTCTCTTTTTCTTCAGGTATCTGATTAGGTTTTGTTTTCATTTTGGGTTTTAACCATGTTCTAATTTACACACAATTAAATATATAGACAAAGTGTTCAATCATCCCCCCCTCTTTGTTGTGTTCAACCTCATGTGAGAAAAGGAACAAGGGTTTTTTGTCCTGGTTGAAATCTTGTCTTGGATTTCCTCTCGGGAGAAATCAAATCATACAAGGAATCTCAGTGCTTTAATGGAAGCTTTAAGCTGACAAAAGCAATTGAGAGAGAGCTGCCACATAAGCTTTATGGTGTCCAATAAAAGTGCAACATAAATAAATGGGGCAATCTTTATAGCGTCTCTCTCACGTTACCATCACAAGAGAATACAATGCCATACGAAGTCAATCAAAAACTCAGAGAGCAAATCTCTCTGGTTCTCGGAAACCCTAGAAATATCCCATCCAAATCAATTTCATGAGCACAGAACTGGCAACATGTCGTTTCATGTAGTTAGGTTATGGGCATATGTAGGGTTTCGCAGAGGAAATGCGTATTGAGAGGTACCGGATTTGAAGCTAGAAGTTGAGAGACCATATCAAATGCTGCATTGATGTGTCTTGGTAGGTTGGGAAAGGCAGCATTATGATTGCTATATATATTTGTGGTGTCTGGGTTTTCTATATTCTTTTGTTCGCGCAACCGCCAACCAAAAGCGTAGAGGCAGATAAAACTGTGGGCTGTAAAACAGTAAAAGTTAAAATTACAGCAAAAAGGACTTTGTGGTCAGTTTGCATTTGGGTTAGTGCATGATGTGCTTCCATAAAATCATGGGCCCTCTAACTCTAGGTTACACAGCCTTCAGTGAGGTGGAGAATACCGGTGTACCATATACGGTACCATAGCTAGCTCCCCTGTCATTACCCTTTTTTTCTTGTTTTTTTTTTCTCCTTTCTTTTTGCATTTTGGGATTTACATAATGAATATTTAATGTCTGTTTACTAATATTGTTTGACCGGTAAAACCCTATTTGGGTAAGAATATTTCATAAGTTAAGCAAATACCAACGGTACATTTTTCTAAACCGTAACGTATTCACATCTAAAAAAAACAATACACGAGTAAAACACAATATAATCTCATTCTTACAATATTTCAACTTAAATTAGGGTATTGTTATTGACACTTCATAATAGTCATCTCACAGTGCTCGTTCAAAATTTATGTTCTATGTTAATACAAAGAATTTTACTAATGATGGAAAGATTTTTATACTTTTTTTATCTGAGAAAAGACTTTTATATTTAGAGTTCAACTCTCGGCGCTTACTTTATTTTTTCTGTGAATTTATATAAGTACGTTACTAAAGTCTCAAAAAAGTAGAAGAATATAGAAATTAGAAAGGTGATTAATATGAGTATGACAAATGTAAACAGTATAAACTACTATCCAAACCCCCACACACACCACAGGAGCTAGCATCGGATTTGCCTTTGCATTTATTAACAAAAGCCCGAGAGCTTAAAAACCCATTGAGCCACCACTAATGACCCAATCATCATCATATTGATGCAATCAAGAAGCTGGTCTCTCTCCCTCTCTCCTCCCTCTTCCTCTCCCTGCAACTGCAAGCAAAAAGGGGGGTCCAGCTACACCCCCACAGCAGGTCCCCCCAAAAACATGGACCCCACCCTTTGATCGAATCAAACAAACAAACAAAAGCTCTCTTGGCCCTTGGATTTTTATGGCTCTCCTTTTACCCGCTTACCCAAAACACCAATCCGACAATCATTTTTTTCACTCCAATCTCAAACTACACTACTGTTTTTCACCAGAGAATGTCTACAAAACCACCTTTGTGCCTTTGGCCCAAAGCCATATGCATTTCTAGCAATTTGTATTTTATTCATTAATAATATTATGATTGCTGCCGGATAAGATTATTAATATATGAGTGCTAATTATTATTATTATACGGCTGTGGGCTATGAAAATAGAACAGTAAAACTATATATCATAATTTAATTACATTGGGGGATAATGGGTTTCACATGAAAGTGGCTATGAATTTCAAACTAGGCTCATTATAAGACTTGGAATTTGAAAGTTCTATATTGGAGGGTGGAGAACAGTCCGAAAGAAAAATAAAATTATTCTATTCATGGGACTTATCAAGTTCTTGATTAGAGCCCTAGTGTAATTATTGTGATGATTAGTAATAAGAATAACAAAGACTAGTTCTAGTTGTCTTAGTGATTAGTTAGTCTTTTGATTTTGTGTTCATCAGAATTAACGATTCACGAAGTATAATAATGCGTTCATTGAAATGAACGGTTCACAGTCTCTCACGAAACTTAATAACGATGGCATATGGACCAAGTGAACTCGTAAGGGCCAAGTAAAATAGCTGCATGTGTGGCATTTTCACTTGTGGTACTACTGGTTTCAATCAGCCACTAAAAAAGCCTCTAGATGCATGGAC